TAGTGAAGATAAATTGCTGTGTTCCTATCACATGAAAACGGCCGTTTTCTGGGTGCTTCAGCAAAACGTAACACAACACTGGTGTGCACAAAATCTCATGGAGTGTTTCTGGATTTGCTTTAAGCTCATCCTTAAATGGGTGTATGAGGGAGTTTGTCCTAACTTTTTCATTCCAGAAAACAACATGTTTCTGACTAAAATCAATGGTGATTCACAAGTGATCTTATTCCTTAGACTGTATACATTATATGAGAATGGTTGTGTATCATGCCTGTTACATTGTTCATCCATCAGGGAACGTGTTCTAAATGTACTTTATAATCCTGGACTTTCAATCTGTACAGATGAACACAAATTGTTCTCTGAGTCAAGGTTTGATCAATTATTGTTCAGAGAGATAAATCTTATTCTTCTGCGTGAAAAAAACATCAAACCTTCACACCGTAGAAAAGCTAATAGGGCTTCGCTGGACACAGTATCATGTTGTTACACTACAGACACAGACGTGTACATTCCTTCAGATCATTTCTTTTATATTACTCAAAATTTACCCAGACACGGGTGCCAACAAACGGAAGTACATTACTGACAAGATTTCCTGTAATATGCTGAAATTAGCGGCCAGGTTTGGTTGTATCTCTGATATCTTGTATATAGCTATGTATTATTACAACACATTCAGATACAAAGAGGCTTTGTCTATTTTAGAAGTAACGAAGGTCAAGTTATCACAACCACACGTGATGTATTTATTACATATAAGAAATAACGAAAACTATACTGAGGCTTTGGGAGGAAAGTCCTGGTCTATAAAGATGAGGGAGGCTCTAGCAAAGCCAGTAAAGCTTTTCAACGATATCTGTTATATCAATGAATTACTGATAGAACAGACTGAAAAAAGCAGATGGGTTAAATTGCAAATCCCACCGTTTATTCTGTTACACCTGCTAGAGATCTTGTGCTACAGACATGTCGACGCATTGAGAGTCCAAACAGCTTTAAATGACCTACGAAACAGAGTTCACAATAATTGGTTGGATAACGTATTCTTCGAAGACATTTCATGGCAGATCCTGGGAATATGTGAATACATAACTGGGGACTTCAAGGCTGCCTTTCACTCTTACCAAAAATCACTAAGACAAAGACAGCTAAATCATTTAAAAACTGCAACAATAATAAGAATTATATTATTAATCTATAAATTCTTCTAATTAGTAAAACACACATAACAGAGATAACACGTACTGATCTATCAACAGGTCACGTGGGATAGCCAGCTGCTCTTTACTCAAACAATCAATAACTGACACAACCAGGAAAAGACATACGTACTGAAACACAGATCAGAATTAAGTAGTATGAGTAAAAAAAATATGCTAGTTATATCGCTATCATAGTAAAACATCACTCGCAAAATTATTGTCTGGAAATATAACGGTAAACTTTAGATTATGCTGAAACATAAAAAAAAACTTTTCTTGATGTTGAAAAATGAAAGGAGTTTTTGGACCTTTTTTATATTAATTTTTTGACGTCACAATTTAAATCAGAATCTTTGAAATTCTTTCCAATGTAAATCTTATACGGTACCAATTTTGATGCACCAGATGCACATTTCGACAAATTATGTCTCTTCAATGATGCTCATGCCGAAACGTTGGAAATCCGAAATATTTAAATTAAAAAAAAGGAGTACTAAAGACTGGAGCCAAATACGTCGATGGATCAGAGCTATGCATGAGGGAGATAATCCTTAAATTTGAAATAAATTTCTAAATTTTACCACAGCAATTAAATATGTTTTCGTATTTTCAAGCTAGTTCCGGAGAGACTAAATAAAAGAAATAAAAGAATAAAAAGAAACTTAGATGTTTATCAAATTTTAGAATGGAAACATACACAACATTTATTTACCCTTTAGATCTGAAAGTATTGGCTCAAAAATATCAAGTGACGTCACTTGTATTTCGTTGAATTCTAGTGCATGGTGTTTCCAAGAGTCAGTTTTGTTTACATAATGTATATTTCAAATAGTTAAGAAAGTAAATATAATAGAAAATTACTGTTTGGTGTATATATATATATATATATATATATATATATATATATATATATATATATATATATATATATATATATATATATATTTGACCCAACTTTAAAGTCGGTAATTCCAACTTTGATCTTGGCTTTTCCAACTTTAAAGTTGGTAATTCCAATTTTAATCTTGGCTTTTCCAACTTTAAAGTTGGCTTTTACAACTTTTATTTTCTGTATTTTTTTTTTATTTAATATAATTATCAACTTTATTAATGTTAATTTAATACACTAAACAATTGCAATTAAAGCCTGTTAATTATTCTTGACCTTCACCTTCCATATGACCATACATATAACTTTCACCTTTAAATGCTTTATATTTCTCTTGGTCCATCTTATATAATTTTATAGAGGATATAGTAACTTCATACAACGCTGTAAATGAAAGCATTTCGACCATACCTATATATATTTAAGAAGATTCGATACGCCAGAGCATGCTCTACGTATGAACAATTTCTAAAACGAGGTAAGTTATTGACAAACAAGTTGATGAAACAAGAATATCAACAGTCTCGTTTAAAGTCATCATTTCGTAAGTTCTATGGTCGATACAATGACCTTGTCAGCAAATACAATCTATCATTAAGTCAAATGCTGACCGACTTTTTTCATACTATTTGTTAGGCCATTATTTACACACTGAATTGTCGAGGGATTTCCGTTATTTCCCGATCATGACAAGGAGCATACGGCGGGTGTGACCGGTCGGCAGAGGATGCTCACTCCTCCATGGCACCTGATCCCACCTCTGAAGTTGTAGAGGTCCGTGTTTGCTCTAGCTGCTCTTATTTTGTAATGTTTAATGGACTTTTGAGCTCGAATACTGTTCGTTATCTCCATATATTTCATAAATCAATTTGTTGAGAATGAGTTTTAACAAATGAGACCGTATTAGGTTTTCGCTTTATAGGATGAATCACCACTATTTTTCATGCTACAAAGACAACTGTACAAAATGTATCAATTCTGTATATGAAAACACAATGAAAATTATTCCTTTTTTCATTACAGTTGTATAAATATATTGTTTATTTTCACTGTTATTATAAAAAGCAACTCTCGTACAACTAACTAAAAAGTATACGAATAAAACACATAAAGCCCGAGGAAGTTGGAAAAGCCAAGATTAAAGCCAACTGTAAAGTTGGAATTTCCAACTTAAAAAAAAAATATTACGTTGCATTAATACGCTTCCGTAAAGGAGGGTTATTTGTTCGAAGTAAATAAAGTGAAGGACCCCCCCCCTCTCTCTCTGCATACAATAGACATCTTTGCATGTGTGTGGAGGGTATTGGAGGGGCGAGGGTTGAATAATAATAATAAATTATAGTTTCTTCTAATCTATATGAGAAGCACTTAATTCAAAGATAATGGAATAAAAATCGACACAGATAAATGAACAAGTATCTGGTATCTATGATTCGAGGACTTGAAAAGATGCTCAAAATGTGCCTCTGATATACACGTTTTTCTTTGTCTGTGTGTTTTTACGCTTCAATTTTTGACTAACTGGTACATTTTAAGTTGACCTTCATGAGGCGCAGACAATTGGTCAAACTTGCGCCACGTCAACCCGTCAAAGAATAACACATGCTTCAGACCGGATCCTTTAACCCTAGATAGAACGTTCTATCGTTAAAATGATATTGTCCTACGGACCCGGTTTAACGATAGAATTCGTTCCGTGTATTGGCAATGTTGCAAAATAAACACGGGCGATAACTCGAACTCTGTGCATTTTCTATGAACAATCAAGAGAGTTCCGAATGTCAACATGGCGTTAAATTTGAAGCGAGGAAAAAACGTTGACAAAAACGAGTTGAATTTTCGTATTTATATGGATTATTTTTTAGGTTAAAAGGCATATACAATCCCAAAAAGGTTTGTTATGATTAATTTGGTAGTTATTTTCAGTTGTAGCGCAGGCCGAGGTGCGGGGGAATCAGCTTAAACAGCTGAGTTGATAAACATTTACTGTCCGAGCGGTTTTTACTTAAATTCTCACCCCTCCTCAGAATAATGCTTAATAACTATGAAGTCCGCATAAAAGTTCACTAATATTTTTTTTACATATCTACACACAATATTTACACATATAGTCCACACTTCACATTAGAAATAATAGTAAAATAATCCAGATGAAATCTATAAAAACCTAAACTCCCGCTAAATCCATTCTGTCTGATATTACAACAATTCACTATACAACTGCAACTGCAACTCCTCTAACTGTTCAAATTCGCTCCCTTATATACTATACTGAACCTCCACAATGTGGGGACTGAAAAATCTACCTCCTCTAAGTGGGGAGGCAATACATAACATTAAACAATGACCACCTGTGATTAACTAATTATCATTATAATTAAAAAGCAATAAATCGTCCTAGCTTACAAATAGATAAGACTAAACAGCTAAATAGAAAATTAATAACAGGTAGCTATAATCATGATAACAATCCGGAATCTGAAAATCAACTATTATAAAATTGCTACAACTCTCCCCCACTTAATTTTTGACTCCGTTCAAAATAAAGGAAAAAAACTGACTAAAAACTAAGCTAAGCGAAACATTGAAAAAAAAATTGAAACAGAAAAACATACATGTCAGATAACAAATAAAATCAGCAATACACGTACTTTAACTTGACATAATAAATCAAATAAAAGTAATAAAAGATTTTCACATACATGTACAATAATAAACAATAAAACAAAAAAACATTAATGAAATAAATCCTATTGTACATTGTGACATCTGTGAATAATATAAACCAAACGATGAAATTATATAAATCAAGACATAAATGACAAAAAAAAATATCCTTTTACACATTCACAGTTAGCATAAGTTCGCAATACATGTATTTACATTTAAGTCAGTTACAATAGATTTCATTCATTTAATTCCACAATTCTCACTTTACGATTGCGAAAGTGTTCTGGCACTTCATTTAAAATGTCAGTTGCAAATTTCACCAGATCCACTTCATCTGGATTTACAGTTTCTGAATGGGAGATTTCGGTATCCCGAACAATTTCTGAATTACCGTCACTGTGATAGATGGTTTTCTTTGTCATTTTTAGAATGATGGTTTCTGTCACTGTTGTTGAGGAACGGTCAATTGGCATCGAATCCGCAATGCTAACACTGTTTTCAGAGTTACTAGGTTCATTGAGGTTTGAGTGCACCTCCTCACTGCCATCTAAAATGTCCTCTAAAAACGCATTCACTTCGGCGTTGTTGGATGAGTTTAAAAGCTCATTTTCTAAGTCGGACCCAATGGACGGCCAATCTTCGTATTCGCTAATTGGATCATATTCCGTTGACGGACGGGGTGGGGAGTTCTCAGGAGTTATGTCTTCATATATGGAGCTGACGAAAACTGCCTTCTTAGCCTCATTTAGTTCCTCCTGCGACATCTTCTTTTTCTTAATTTGTTTCACTTCAATTCTCGCATTTTTGTCGGAAAGTTTGTGAGAATTTTGTAAATGTCTTTTTAGGCTGAAAGTTCTCGAAAATGGTCTCTGGCAATAAGTACAGTTTACAATAAATTGGTCCAAATGGTTTTCTCTAGTGTGTCGTTGTAAATTATCCTTCCTTATAATATTTCTTCCACAAAATTCGCATAACATTACTCTCAAAAAATTTTCTAGAATGGTTACAATAAGTAGCGCTTCGGTAATTTAACTTCACGGCCCCTTCGTGTCAAGGTGGTGCTAAGCTGCGACTCCTGTTCCACGTTTCCTCTAGTCTTTTGAAGTTCCGTCGTTTCCATATGGGGTGTCGAGACAGTTAGGTCGTTCTGGTTGGGGAGCGGCAAACTAGAAACGTAAGGGTCTTCTGGATCAGCATCATAATTAACACCTGATAAAGTTTTACTGCCGTGGTATCGTTTAAGGTTATCTGAGTGAATAATAACGGGTTTTGAATTTTCCGAATGTTTAATCTGGTATAATACATCTGATAGTCTTTTTGTGATAATCCATGGTCCAGTCCATTTTCTAGCCAATTTTTGTTTTGTTCCTTCCACAAATTTTGGTTGACTACGGCGCACTAAATCTCCAACTTCGTATGTTACTTCTCGTAAAGAGCTAGAGCCACGAACCATCAAAATGTGCCTTAAATTTTAGACAAAATTTAAGTTTGAAACCACTAAGCCTGTCATATGTTATATTGTAGTGCACAATGTCATGCTACTCTACATACAATTTTTGGCCACACAGACCACCGTCTTTAGCACATGCGCAGCATCAAATATACAAATGAAGTTAAAAACTGCTAAAAAACGTCGATTTTACGGTAGTTATTTCAAAATTTGAATGTGGCCACACTCAAGTACCGATTCCAAACTTTGCAGAGAGAAAAATATTACATATATGCATTTTTAAGCAAAATATCTTAGAGGTACTCGAGTGTGGCCAATATGAATTTTACATTTTATGAACGATGAGCTATCAGAAAATGAAGCAAGGTCCTCCATTTTAACAGTAGTTATGAGTTCATTATATACGTAAATAGCTTAAATTAGTTATTAGTATATGAGATTTATTCTTGATAACTACATAATCCCTAATTTGTCAATTATTTTGTTTTAGAATATCTTAAACTCACATTTAACATGTGTTGTTTCATATAAAATTTAAAATTACGTTCTTTTCATTCATGCTTACGTACATCAATGATGACGTCATAATTTGACGTTTTTGACGTCGACTGCATCTCATAGATAATTTGAAGAAGTTTGTCAAAATAATTTCAAAATAGATAATTGAAAAGTGTCGAAATCCAGTTTCCGATTTTTTGCCAGTACTACATGTTGAACGTAAAATTTATTTTCAGATTTACTATATTATAAAAATACAAATGCCTAATTCAAAGGTTATTATCTAAAATACATACAATACGCAAAAATTATGCGCGTTTTAGATATACATGAAGCGGAAATAGTTTGACTTGTTCACACACTGATATTTTATATGAAGAAATTATACGGTTAATTGTGTTCTCGATCCAATTATCAATAATTTTATTTAGCTAACAGCTTACATATCATATACCCGTTTAAAAAATAAAACGACTTAGAATTTTTTGACGAAAACAAAAAGGGAAAAAAGAAAAAAAATTTCCAATGCGCGGAAAAGGGGGGGGGGATGTTTTGACAATAAAAAAAAATTCCCTGAAAGGGGGTGCGTAAGCATGTAAGACATTTGTCTTGAACAAGCCGCTAAATAGACTCTTCTTACCAATTTACAGGGGTCCCTGTTTCTTGTGTGCATGTGTGGAGGAGTGTTTTCAAGGACATCTATCGGTCATTTTATTATATAGATCTAATAACTCTGAAATTGAATAACTCCGGAACACCCCCCCCCCTCTCTCCTATAGATCCGCGCATACGTATATGCATCATTTTGTATCTATAGAAAGTGTCCGACCCAATGTCAAATGTGTCCGAAATTCTATTACTTCTGAATGCATTTCAAAATTTCGTTTCTGTCTCTCAGAGTTATTTTTCATCGTTTCCCTCGCCAATTGATGAATTTCTATCAGTTTGTCTTCTGAGTTGCGCACATATTCTGCGTCATTAACTTCGATATCACTGTTTGTTAGATCTTTTTCAGTCATGAGATTCAGTGGTAATTTTGCTTCTCTTCCAAATACCATCCTATATGGTGACATACCCGTAGTTTCGTGTGGCGTAGTATTATATGCAAGAACAATACCATCGATGTAAGTATCCTAGTCTGTTTGGTTTGAGCATATGTATTTGGACAATATTTCTTTAATTGTTCGGTTCGACCATTCCGTCTGATCGTGGATGATATGGGGTTGTCCGGGTTTTGCTAATCTGAAATATCCGGCACAAGCCTTGGAATATGTGACTCTCAAATTGTCTCCCTTGATCTGAATGAATTTCACCTGGACATCCATATCGTTTTATCCAGCCTTTAAAAATCACTTCAGCAACTGTCTCTGCTTCTAAGTTTACCAAAGGAAAAATCTCCATGAATTTGGTAAAGTAGTCAGCAACAACTAACAAGTAAGAATATCCTTTGTCCGATTTTGGAAAAGGTCCAGTAATATCAATTGCTATTCTTTCAAACGGTTCACCACTGAAATATTGCTTCATGCAGGATCTTTTCTTTCTTGGTGGATTTTTCCGCTCCTCACAAATATCACAGGATAAGACATAATCATGCACACTTTGTCGCATTCTTGGCCAGTAATAAAGCGAACTTCGCACTTTCGCAAGCGTTCTCTTTTCTCCCATATATCCGGCACTAATGGAATCATGCAGCTGCCATAGCACAACACTTCGTAATTTCCGAGGAACACATATTTTGTAATCCTCATTTCCAGGATTTATCCAACGAATGCACAGTATTCCATGATCCATGTATAACAAATCCCATCTGGAAAACCAAAATTTACACTCAGAATTTTCACGCGATATCACTGATAATGGAGGTTTCTCGCCTTTTTCCTGCCACTGGATAATAATGCGCATTCCGCTATCTTCGAGTTGATGCTTTTGAATGTTCTGAATATCCAATGGTTCTGTTGGCTCTTTTCTAGCTTTTGCTCTGGTAGGCCTGTTAGCTCTATGCCTTTTATCTCCTAGTATTTGTGCACAGTCACTGACATTAATACTAAAAAGTCTGTCTAGAGCAAACACGTCTTCTTCTTTGATTGTGTTAAAAGTTCCCCGTAATTCACTAACATGAGAGAATTTGTCACTGTCACTATTTGTAGATTCACGTTTGCACTGTTTACAAGTCGAATCACATGGAATTCTAGACATCGCATCCGCATTTCCATGCTGCTTCCCAGAACGGTGTTCAATTCGGAATATATATGGTCCTAATTGTTGAAGCCACCTAGCCATCTGGCCTTCTGGTTCTTTCATCTTATGAAGCCACACTAGTGACCCGTGATCAGTCCGTAACAAGAATTCTCGTCCCAGTAAATAATGTTTGAATTGTTTGATGAAATACACTACTGCGAGCATTTCTTTTCTTGTAACACAGTAGTTTTTCTCTGAGTTAGACAGTACACGACTTCCATAGCAAATAACAACTTCTCTACCATCTTGTATTTGTGACAGGACTGCTCCAATAGCATCATTACTGGCATCTGTATCCAGTATGAATTCACTTCCTTTTACATCCGGGTAACCAAGAATTGGTGCTGACACAAGTTTCTCCTTTAGCAATTCAAAAGCTTCTGTACATTCAGAAGTCCAGTTCCATGTACTATTTTAACCAGTGGGAGTATGTAAACACTTTGCTATTTTAGCAAATCCGTTGATAAATCTACAATAATATGCTGCCAGTCCAAGAAAGCTTCTAAGTTCAGAGACATTCTTTGGTACTTTCCATTCTTTCACTAATGTAATCTTGGACAAATCAGTTTTTATTCCTTCTTGAGATACGACATGTCCGAGAAAATTCACTTCCTTCTGGAAAAAGTTGCACTTTTTAGCCTTCAATTTTAAATTTGCCTTTTGTAATCGATCAAGTACTAAGTTCAAGTCTCTAGATGTGTATCAAAGTCACGGCTATGAACTATGATATCGTCCAGGTATAACACTGATATTCGCCACTGTAATCCGCTCAAAACTTTTTCAATAACACGCTGAAAAGTAGCTGGTGCATTGCACAGTCCGAATGGCATTACTGTGTATTGATATAATCCTCCACGAGGGGTAGCAAATGCTGTTTTCTCTTTATCACCCTTGTGCATGGGAATTTGGTGGTAAGCCATGTTTAAGTCTAACGACGAAAACCACGCAGATCCTGCTAAGGAATCAAGATCATCTGCTACTCTGGGAATTGGATAAGCATCCTTGATGGTGTTTGCGTTCATCTTCCGGTAGTCTACACATAGTCTCCAGCTCTTATCTTTCTTCTGCACTAAGACAAGGGGAGATGACCAAGGACTATTAGACTTCTCAATTAGCCCTTGTTCTTCCAGTTTCTGTATCTCATTATCCATAACCTCACGTTTAAAGATTGGGACTCTTCGTACAGCTTCTTTAAAAGGTATTTCTTCTTTCAGTTTTATAAAATGTTCTCCAACACGTGCCCTCTCAGCTGGTTTACTCGGGTCAGCAAAAACTTCTACACGACTCAGGAGAAAATCTTTGAATTTCTTTGTTTTTTCATCATTCAAATGTTCACATCCCTCAGTGAACACCGGCTCAAGGAAATCTGGCAATTTCCTATGTGACGTCTCATCCACACTACAAACATCTGTAACTTCGACAGAAGATGAAACACACTCAACTGGTTCAACGAATGCTACGGCCGTATTCTCTTTTACACGTACTTCCTGCTCAAATGGATTAAATACTCGTAAATAGATGCAACTCTGTTCAGCATCCAAACTCACAAGCACACGAGCAACCGCTAATCCATGGCTA